TTTCGAGACAGGGTTTCTCTGTGTAGCCCTGGCTGTTCTGGAACTCACTCTGTAGACCAGGCTGGCCTCAAACTCAGAAATCCGCCTGCCTCTGCCTCCCAAGTGCTGGGATTAAAGGCATGCTCCACTACCGCCTGGCGGTGAAGAAAAATCTATTTTCAATAGAAAATTTACCACCACCATTCTTAAAACTGCACTTAAATTATCTTATATGTTTTGGGCTGAAATATTCACATGTGTCTTCTAAAATGAATATCTACTCTAATATTTGAAAACTAATTTTGAAAACCTGTTATGATTTGTAGCATCTTAAATTTGGACTAAAGACACCTTATTTCGTCAGTGTTCTCATTGTTACTGGCTTCCCTTGCTTTATATCGTGCCATTTGCTCATTTTAGTACATGAACTCAGGAATTTATTTAGGCTGCAAATCTTGACAATGAGAGATTTGTGAGTATAATAGAGCTATAAATATGAAGCAAAGCATAACAGTAGACAGAGGCGTTGTGCAAAACATCACAGAGCATAATTGAGAGAGTGCTGCCTATTTTTCATAAAAAAGCTGTCATTGTGGAATATCACTTTGTAAATTAGATAGAAAAATAAACGTGCACTCATTCTGCAGTTATTTGAGGATAATCATTCTAGAGTTGGAACATATAAGGAAAATGAGGAAGAAGGACCTAATAAATATCTCCAGAATTCTCTGTATGTTTAAAGCAGACAAAGAACTAAAACCAATCTCTCCCCAATAGAAGCCAAACATACTTTTGTTTCCATTAGAAATTTATTCTCAGCATGATATGTACTCACAGGTACATACTAAAACGATTCCTTAAATACACACACATACACACACACACACACAATATTCAAAGTTGTACAAGATTATAAAACTAAGGCTTATAATTACTCTCACTTTTAACCCATGTTTTGAAAACTGTTTTCAATGTTTAATTTTAGGCATAATAACCTCCATTTAAATCATCTCTTTGCACATGTATTATGGCAATGTCCTTTCTGTAATAGGATTTGATCTACTTTCTCTTCTCCAATTTCTTAACTATAATTTCTATACTACTTGGTGTTAAAATATGAAGGCATGTGCCTGTGGAATAACGTATTAGTAGGCCTTACATATCTCACTGTGTGGAAGAAGAACTGATTGCTCTGTCATCACAGTGATACCTTTCCCAGAAGACACACTATTTTAGCCACACCATTTATTTATTTTTTTCTGTGTTAGAAATGGATTTCATATAATATGCAGAAACTGATTATGTAACTTCATGGAACTGCGTACAAAACTTGGAGCACTGAGCTTTGTAATTGGTACTAATAATTGAAAATTAATCATGCCAACATAGACTTATTCTAGATTTAAATCTTTATACTGTTTTCTCATAAGATTGCTCTTTGATTTTACATTTGACTAATGTGCCATGCCTTGATGTCTAAAAACCAAAGTAAAATGAAAATGAGTATCATTTTGCTCATTAAGTATCATTTTTATGACAAAACTAAGATACGCTGATGTCCTTCTTTGTTATTTCACTTATATTTGTGAAGTCTAGAACTAAAAGATATACATTTATTAGTTGTATCCTAAGATATGAATATTACATATTAGTGACATAAGACATTATATATGTGTGTGTGTATATATATATATATATATATATATATATATATATATATATAGAGAGAGAGAGAGAGAGAGAAGGTGTGTGAAAGTTTAGCCACAACAATAGACACAATGAGAAAGTGTTGTGACTTAGCATCATTATAACACTGACAGTGTAATAAGTTACACACTGCTTATACAGGGGTAGCTATAACACATAGGCATTGGTTGTTTTTATTTCAAAGTTTTATTCAAGTTATATGTTATTATTTGATTAAGATTTTGTCTACAGAGCTGTTTGTAATGATGGATACCAGAAGAGGACCTCAGATCATCTGAATCACCAGTTACAGGTGGATGAAACTCTGTGTGTGCTGGGAGGAACTTAACCAAAGTTCCCTGAGAGAGAAGTAACTGCTTCTACAGATTAGTTCCCACAAACTGAGTCTTAAAAAAAAAATCTCTTCATTGTCTTTTCCTTCTCGGATGAGTTAACATTCAAGACTTCTCCTTTGCTCTGGGCCCCTGGAACTCTTCTGCTCAGTCGAATGCGTACATGTTTCTCTGAAGAAACTCCATTGGGCTATGTTTAGGGCCAGTACCTAAATTGAATCCCAGTTTCCAAGTCATCAGACAAAAACCAAACTAGAACATCGACAGGGTAGATGTCAGGTAGAGTGTCCCAGACTCCATTGCTGCCCTTCCTCCACCCATCATTTTAACATACTACAGCTGTTTTAAATCCTGAGCCATCATATTGCCTTTCTTCAAATTCTCTGTAAATGCTCCAGCAATAAAGTAGTCTAACAAGAAGTCATTGTCTGTGGATGTTGCTGTTGGAAGACAGCTGTAGGTCATAGCTGACCAGCTCCTAAGATTGCTTTAGGCGTTTGAGTGATGGCTGCAAGAAAGGACACTGTGCAGAATTCAGGTAGCGGAATGCTTCATCTACCAAGTGGGGATGTGACTCTACCATTGATTTCCACCCTGAGGTCTCAGAAACCTCAGAAGGATGAAGTGTAATGAAATCCAGGGCCTGAGTCTTCAGGCACTTTCTGCTGTGGAGGTCAGCCATGATGAGAATATGTGCAACATTTTCCAGAGAGAGGTTCCAGCGGAGGGAATCCTCACACCTGGCCATCAAGTCCTCCAGGCCATATTTGTCAGCAGCTGCCAGCACACCAATGGTCATCCAGTAGCTCTGGAAGTGTGGCACCTTCCCAGTGTACATGAAGCCCATCATCTCCTTGAAGACTTGGGGATCCAGGTCTTGAATCTCAACGCGGTTCGTTAGGCCCTCCTTCATTTCATGTTCAAACATGGCTCTAAAAACTGGAGAGCGAGCTGCTAGGATGGCCTTGTGAGCCCTGAATTCATAGCCACCTACCAACAGGCAGCAGTCTGTGAAGAGGGAATTCTCCGACAGCTCCTTTAGGTCATCTGTCAACACATGCCTTGGATCCTGGATTGCAGGTGTCATGGTCTGTTCAGGGTTGTTAAAGAAGTCTCCTACTATGTTCACCTTGCAGCAGAGGGTGAGCGTGTCTTCAGGGAGAAGCCAATGGTGGAGAAGATGTTCTCGGAGGATGAACTTTTTGAATCCCCTGGTTTGGTTTTGCAGAAAGCTTACAACATTAGAGTCCCTCATATTTAGATTTTTGTTTTGGTTATTTGTGATCCAGAACTGGAACTTGGCCCAAACTGGACTCTTTGGACAACTGAGCAACACCAAGAAAACTGACAGGAAGTGTTTGCTTTCTTCATCAGTCCCATTTGGGTGTACTCTCAAACACCATGCCACTTCATCATTGGCCTCTAATGAGAACACTGGGCTTGTAATCTTTTCCCTAATTCCCTCCATGCAAAGTGAAAAGTTGCTAATTGTCCACTTGCAGCAGGATTCCTCAACACTGATATGTGTGTAGCCCCAGCTCTTGGCTTCAAGGTCCCCTGACATTTCTGCTGGAGGTAGTTTGAAGGTTGAAGGTGATCTGAAAAGAAGAACTAGAAGTTATTTACTCTTAATCATGTAGAATAAAATTATAGATACACTTTAGTTTTAGTTTCAATTTCTTCTAAACTGCCCCTTGTATTATCTTGGAAATTTGTGTTTCTATGCAGTTTTCTATCTTAAGTTTCAATATTTGTTTTACAGAAGACAATACAGATCTGTATTGACTGTTAAACCTTTCTCCCTCTCCCTCTCCCCTCCCCATCCCCCCTCTCCACTTTCTCTGTCTTCCCCTCCTTTCTCTCTCTGTATTTGTGTCTCTGCCTTTCTGTGTGTTTTGTGTGTTTATTGAACCTTAGGTCTATGGGAACTATTTTTGGCTATTCTATCCAACTTAGAAGAGTTTGGAAAATTTTAAACATTCTCATTTAAAGTGTGCTGTACTTCTCTCACCATTTGATTATCTCTGGTGTTAGCTGGTCTTGCTGTCTGACTGTGGCTTGTCCCTCCTGCAAATGATCTAAACAGTCCCATAACCCATAAAGAAATGGAAGCAGTCATTGAAAGTCTCCCAACACCTTTTGACTGGGGCAGACACCTAGCTGGTCTTTTCCTGTGGAGACACCGTATCCTGAGCCATCCTAGAGGAGCCACTGCACTCAGAGCAGTGGGTAAGAATGCTTTCCCACTACCCTAGGCCCAAGAGTTACAACTGACAGCCAGGGGCACTCAGGACCCATCAACCACCCAAACCACGCCCCTCCAGAATACCACTTCTCTTCTCCCCCTTGCCTGGTCCTTTTGACTGGGGCAGACACCTAGCTGATCTGCTCCTATGGAGACACCATATCCTCAGCCATCCTAAAGGAACCACTGCACTCAGAGTAGCAGATTTCAGGATCCCAGAGGCAGCCTAAATCCTGGAGTTCTTCCACCCAGGAGCTTAGGATCGCAAGATCACAGAGACTCTCTGAGGAGTTCTGACACAAGCCAGATGACTGGAAAGATAGACTCCAGTCAGACACAGTGAGTGCAGGTAACACTAGAGTTGACCAGATAGCAAAAGGCAAGAGCAAGAACATAAGCAACAGAAACCAAAGTTACTTGGCATCATTAAAACCCAGTTCTCCCATTACTGCAAGCCCTGGACAACCCGTCACACCAGAAAAGCACGATTCAGAATTAAAATCACTTCTCATGATGATGATAGAGGACTTTAAGAGGGAAGTAAATAACTCCCTTAAACTACAGGAGAACACAGGTAAATAGGTAGAAGCCCTTAAAGACAAAACACAAAAATCCCTTAAAGAACTGGAAGAAAACACAATGAAGGAATTAAACAAAACCATCCAGGATCTAAAACTGGAAATAGAAACAATAAAGAAATCTCAAAGGGAGACTACCCTGGAAACCTAGGAAAGAGATCAAGTGTCATAGTCACAAACATCACCAAAAGATACAAGAGATAGAAGAAAGAAGCTCATGTGCAGAAGATACCATGGAAAACAAAGATACCATGTCAAAGAAATACAAAATGCAAAAAGCTCCTAACCAAAAGCATCCAGGACACAATGAGAAGACCAAACTTGAGGATAATATGTATAGATGAGAGTGAAGATTCCCAACTTAAAGGTCCAGTAAATGTCTTCAACAAAATTATAGAGGAAAACTTCCCTAAAGAATGAGGTGCCCATGAACATACAAGAAGCCTACAGAACCCCGAATAGACTAGACCAGAAAAGAATTCATTACATAACAAAACATCAAATGCATAAAACAAAGAAAAAATACTAAAAGCAGTAAGGGAAAAAGGTCAAGTAACATATAAAGGCAGACCTATCAGAATTACACCAGACTTCTCACCAGAGACTATAAAAGCCAGAAGATCCTGGGCTGACATCATACAGACCATAAGAGAACACAAATGCCAGCCCAGACTACTATGCCCAGCAAAACTCTCAATCATTATAGATGGAGAAACCAAGATATTCCATGACAAAACCAAATTTGCACAATATCTTCCCACAAACCCAGCACTTTAAAGAATAATTGATGGAAAACACCAACACAAGAAAGAAAACTACAACCTAGAAAAAGCAAGGAAGTAATCTTTCAATATCCCCAAAAGAAGATAGCTACACAAACAAAATTCCACCTCTAATAACAAAAATATCAGGAAGCCACAATCATTTTTCCTTAATATCTCTTATCAATGGACTCAATTCTCTAATAAAATGGCATAGACTATCAGACTGGATACATAACATACAAACAGGACCCAGAATTTTGCTGCATACAGGAAATGCACCTCAGTGACAAAGACAGGCACTATCTCAGAGTAAAAGGAATGAAAACAATTTTCCAAGCAAATGGTCCCAAGAAACAAGCTGATATAGCCATTCTAATATCAAATAAAATCGGCTTTTAACCAAAAGTAATCAAAAAAGATAAGGAAGAACACTTCATACTTGTGAAAGGAAAAATCTACCAAGATGAACTCTCAATTCTCAACATCTATGCTCCAAATGCAAGGGCACCCACATAAGTAGAAGAAACTTTACTAAAGCTCAAAGCACACATTGCACCTCATACCATAATAGTGGGGGATTTCAACACCTCAGCAATGGACAGATCATGGAAACAGAAACTAAGCAGAGACACAGTGAAATTAACAGAAGTTATGAACCAAATGGATTTAACAGATATCTATAGAACATTTAATCATAAAACAAAAGAATATTCCTTTTTCTCAGCACCTCATGGTACCTTCTCTAAAATAGACCATATAATTGGTCACAAAACAGGCCACAACAGATACAAAAAGATTGAAATAATCCCTTGCATCCTATCAGATGACCACGGACTAAGGCTGGTATTTAATAATGACAAAAACAATGGAAAACCCACATGTGTGTGGAAACTGAACAATGCTCTACTCTACTCAATGATGACTTGGTCAATGAAGAAACAAAGAAAGAAATAAAGACATTTTAAAATGTAATAAAAATGAGGACACATCATATCAAAACTCTTGGAACTCCATGAAAGCAGTGCTAAGAGGAAAACTCATAGCTCTTAAGTGCCTACAAAAAGAAACTGGAGAGAGCATACACTAACAACTTGACAGCACACCTGAAAGCTCTAGAACAAAAAGAAGCAAATACACCCAAGAAGAGTAGAAGTCAGGAAATAATCAAACTCGGGGCTGAAATCAACCAAATAGAAACGGAAAGAACTATACAAAATATCAACAAAACCAGGAGCTGGTACTTTGAGAAAATCAGCAAGATAGATAAACCCTTAGCCAGACTGACCAGAGGGCACAGAGAGATAATACCCAAATTAATAAAATCAAAACTGAAAAAAGGGAGACATAACAACAGAAACTGAGGAAATTAAAAAAAGTCATCAGATCCTACTACAAAGGCCTATACTCAACAAGAGTGGAAAATCTGGATGAAATGGACAATTTTCTAGACAGATAACAGGTACCAAAGTTAAATCAGGAGCAAATAAACCATCTAAACAGTCCCATAACCCCTAAAGAAACAGCAGCACTCATTAAAAGTCTCCCTACAAAAAAAAGCCCAGGACCAGATGGTTTTAGTGCAGAATTCTAGCAAACCTTCAAGGAAAACCTAATTACCAATTCACTTCAAACTATTCCACAAAATAGAAACAGAAGGAATACTACCCAATTCGATCTATGAAGCTACAATCACACTCATACCCAAACTTCACAAAGACCCAACAAAGAAAGAGAACTTCAGACCAATCTCCCATATGAATATCAATGCAAAAATACTCGATAAAATTCTAGCAAGCTGAATCCAAGAACACATCAAATCAATCAATCATCCATCATGATCAAGTAGGCTTTGTCCCAGGAATGCAGGGATGGTTCAGTATTTGGAAATCTATCAATGTAATCCTCTACATAAACAAACTCAAAGAAAAAAAAAACACATGATCATCTCACTAGATGGTGAGAAAGCACTTGACAAAATTCAACCTCCCTTCATGGTAAAAGTCTTGGAAACATCAGGAATTCAAGGCCCATACCTAAACATAGTAAAAGCAATTTACAGCAAACCAGTAGCCAACATCAAAGTAAATGGAGAGAAACTTGAAGCAATCCTACTAAGATCAGGGACTAGACAAGGCTGTCCACTCTCTCCCTACCTATTCCATATAGTACTGGAAGTCCTAGCCAGAGCAATTAAACAAAAAGAAGTCAAAGGGATACAAATAGGAAAGGAAGAAGTCAAAATAAAAACTGCATGGTATTGGTACAGAGACAGGCAGGAAGATCAATGGAATAGAATTGAAGATGTAGAGATGAACCCACACACCTATGGTCATTTGATATTTGACAAAAGAGCTAAAACTGTCCAGTGGAAAAAGGACAGCATTTTCAACAAAAGGTGCTGGTTCAACTGGAGGACAACATGTATAAGAATGCAAATTGATCCATTCTTATCTCCTTGTACAAAAAAAAAAATGTGGATCAAGGACCTTTACATAAAAGCAGATACACTGAAACTAATAGAAGAGAGTGGGGAAGAGCCTTGAATACTTGGACAAAGCGGAAAAGTTCCTGAACAGAACACTAATGGCTTATGCTTTAAGATCAAGAATTGACAAATGGGACTTCATAAAATTGCAAAATTTCTGTAAAGCAAAGGACACAGTTAATAGGACAAAGAGGCAACCAACATCTTGGGAAAAGATCCTTACCAATCCCACATCTGATAGAGGGCTAATATCCAATATATACAAAGAACAAGAAATTAGACTCCAGACAACCAAATAACACTAATAAAAAATGAGGTATAGAGCTTAAGAATTTTCAACTGAGGAAACTTGAATGGCCGAGAAGCACCTAAAGAAATGTTCAGCATCTTTAGTCACAGAAATGCAAATCAAAACAAAACAACCCTGAGATTCTACCTCACATCATCCAGAATGGCTAAGATCAAAAACTCAGGTGATAGCAGATGCTGGAGAGGATG